CTTAGTGGACTCCTCATATTTTTTAAGTAGTGTAGTCCTTTAACTAATAATGTACAACGACGAGTTAGTCGCTATGTGAAAGTTCTGTAATATTTTGGTATTTCTCAATATCTTAATAAAGACATGCCATTGTGACATGATTGAGGGTTAAAAAAAAAAAAAAAAAAAAAAATATATATATATATAATATTAATTATAATTTCTTATCTAATGCTTATTTTATAATCTGATAACGTTTTTTACTTTAATATTATTTATTTACTGTATATAAAATAAAATTTAATGTAATTATTATAAAATTTTATGATAAATATTTTTGAAACAATTGGTTTATTTTATTTTATACAAGCCCCTATGAAATATCGATTTGGTAATCATGATCGAAAACTCAGAATTCCATCGGTTTCTGATCTTGTGACACCACCTGAAAGAACCGGAATGTGTTTCCATTGCAAACCGGAATATTGTGTTTAAAAATCAGCAATTTGGGTAATTCGATAGGATGCAGTTCGATAAGAACTATGGTGAAGCGCCAGCTGAAGAAATTTAGTATGAAAAATACAAGTTAACTCTATGAAAAATTGCCCTTCATGATCGATTATTGAACACTGTGACCTTCGCGGTATGATACGAAGAAAAATTGTCTTGAGTCAAATTTGTATATAAAGAGAGTTGATATCCCTCTTTTTCACCATCTCCAACGACAAGAACAAAAGACAACCAAATAAACTAAAAAAAAGAAAATTAAATAAAAATCAATAATCATGAAGTTCTTCCAAGTTCTCGCCACCCTTCTTTTCTTCGTTTTAATGAGCGTTATGGTCATTGCCGATGCTGAAGCTAATTACTACGAGTACATATAGATTTCATTTTTCTTCTGTCTTCAGATATACTGTATCTATTTACTGATTAATGTCTTTTAATTTATTCTTTGCGAAAAAAGGTATTACAAGACCGAGACTGTAACAGTAACCAAGACCCATTACGTGACCGATTATGTCACCAAATACTACTATCCCAAATATACAAAGAAGCCATACTACGATTAATTTAATCCTTTATTACAACATATTAGCATCACTTTTATATAAAATCTTTCTGATAATTTAATAAACAATCGATCAATTTTATTGAATTTTTTCCAAAAACGTAGTATCGATAATAAAATCATGCTTTTTGAAAATTCTACTGTTTTATTAAAATTGAAATTTTTTGCATATTACGTAGCGAACGAGCAACAGGTAAAGGGTACAGACAGTAATTAGTAAATTTTATAGCTTGCGTAAGTAATAAAATTTTAATATGAATTTATCAAAAGATCAGTATACGTACAGTATATTTAAAATATTAAGCATATAAAATCAAAATTTTTTAACTAATGATTGATAATGCGTCAAATATTGAAATATGTAATTTAAAAATAAAGGTGAGTTTACTTTTTTTTCGAAATTAAATAGAAGAATAAAAAATTAAATTTGTATATTACAAATAAAAATATTTATAAAAAACTAAATGACCTAAACTTTTCTTATAAAGTAATTTGACAACATTTTTCTGAAAATTATTTTTTGAAAATTTTATATTGCATATAAAAATTTATCCTTAAAATTGAAAAAAAATTTTTTTTTTTTTTTAAGAAAATAAGCAATTCACAAATAATTATAACATCATTGGGGTATATTGGCGACTCTACTATTAATAAAGATGGTGTTCTTGGGTTACGTTCATCGATTATCTTAAGCTCGTTCAAAAAAGAAAAAAATCAAATGGGGGTGTCGGAAAATAGAGTTGAGCCCGCCGAAACAACCACCTAAATGACCTTAAATTCGTATGAAGGCCAAGATAAGACAGAATAACTTATTAATAAGTCAAAGAGACAATAAACGGCAACCAAAAAGTATAAATGACCACAAGATTCTGTTTCTATCGGTGGCTGCAAATGAATATGCCAATAGATTTTGATAAAGCAACAGAATTTTTAATCGGGAAAGTGGAAAGAACAGCTTTGGTAACAGATGTCAATTTGGAGGAGATTCTTGAACACAGCAATAAATGTGAAAAGATTTTTGAGAGAAGTGAACTTGTTATTCCGTTTACTAGCCAATTCATGTCGTGTCATATGTAAAGACCGAGTACGAAATTCTAAGGAGAAAAGTTTATGTAATATATATCTTCGTTGTCAATACGGAAAAGACCAATAATTTTATTTGGTCGATTTTTATCATTTAAATAACAAAAAGAGACATTCGAAAAATGAACAAAAGCTTGGTGTGGACTTTATGCAACTTCTAATAAAGATAAAGGCAACCGAGAAGGATGCGATATACGTATGTACGTATACGTAAACGCTCACTCCGTAGTACATAGTAGGTTTAAGATTTTACGATCTCTTTATGCTTTCAGCCTATTTTGTTTATTCTTTTAACATCGAAGCCTTTAAAGTCTCATCAATATATTAAAATCGAGTAATTTACTTTTTTTAGTTGTCCATCCTGAAAGTACTAGTTGGTAGTAATGTAACACTACACGGTTATAGTTTCGAAGTATCAGATGAAAGCCATAAGCAATCGATGCAATGCCAATTATAAACAAAGTCTTGGACGCAAAATTCGTATGGTAATGTTCGCCTTTTAATAAATGTTGATACATATAGAATATCATAAAGACCATAGCAGGCCTTGATGTCTTTGAATATTTCATTTTGACGCACCAAAAATCATATTATCTTCGGGAATAATATTCATTTTAAATAGCAGGAATCTTACCGTAATGGCTGAGGAAATTATATGTACTTGTCTGAATTTTTTGCTGATACAGTATAATAAAGCTCGTAAATTCCTTTCGCTTATTCATTACTTTTAACATCGATTTGCTTTTGATCTGGTTCATTATGAAGAAAAAATATTGTACATCGAAGGAGGTAAACACCGGTGCGGCCAAACAAACTACTTGCCAAGTGAAATAAATGCTAATAAAGTAGAGCAGAATCTACCATCAACCAAATCGACCCAAGAAGTAGAAGTAAAAGCATTAACTATTATATCTTGTCAAAGTTCGAATTAAACCTTAAGTTTGTGGTGTGTATTAAACTTTCTTGGAAAGGTTTCGACACCGCATTCATACGTATAATTTTTTTTTTTTTTTTTTTTTTTTTTTTTTCAATAATTTCTCTCCAAATCATCACGCTCATATCTGTTTATCGTTGGTTAACAGTCCAGTCAAATAATGAACATGTATAAACCGAACACGAGAAGCGCGAAACTTCGAGTAAAAAAGATTAACTAAAATACGTTAAAAAAAGGAAATCACCAAACTAGAGTATACCGTACTGTACACATAATTGCTTCCGATATTATAAAATAGCTTGATAGAAATATCATAAGGTATACCGTACTACTTAATGATTAAAATGCTATGGGTGAATAAATTATGATGAGTATATGTAAACGTTCAGCTCTTGGCCTTGTAATTACTAATAAATCATTTTTTCTACTTTGCATAATATATTCAATGTTCAAGAAAATTTTACTGCCTTTGAACCATTTTTGCGTAACTTTTATAACATCTATAATAGCATTGTACTAAGAAACCTGTTAACTTTGATTTTTTGGGCCATTTATTATCCATCTTATCTATTTAATGGGGAGGCCTACCAAAAAGCCACCTCAAGGAACCACAAAAGGCACGTTGTCCAAATATTTACCGAGGCTCGCTCTTTTTCAGAGGCTTTAAGAGTCATTTCGTTTTATGAGGAAAGGACATACTGTCCTTATTGTTTACTGTTAAATAATAATAATAATGACCAAAGATATTTTCACCCTACATTCTTTTTTTCCTTACCATTGTGACTCATTAAGCGTGCGTGGACAAAAGGTTATATTTTTATGTATTTCATCTCTAATCATTCTCCGTTATAAGAGTTTGTTAAAATTGCATATCTTCTGAATTTCCCTTATCTCATAGTACGTAAATAGAATACAGGAATGAAATCGTTTATTACATTAGCTTTTGCTTTTTTCCTGGTCACCATCAACTTGGTCTGTGCTCTGCCTCTCAGCGAAGATACGACTGTGATGGTTATCGATCCAGCCGAAGGAGTAACCGTTAATCCAGGGAGTAGCTTATTTATCTCATGGATTGTTCAAAACCCTCCAACCGAAGGTAAACATTTTTGTATATTCTTTGTATCAATAAACTACGTATTCATACATCATACGAATTATTCTGCAGGTACTGTTGATGTTATAATTTATCACAGCGGAACAGAGCACACTATAGATGTGGTACGTGAGGTAAGTATTTTTATCATTTCTCTACGTGATTTTTTTTTCTATTTTCTTTAACACACGTACACATCTTCGTAGTTGGACCTTTCTATTACCTCTTACACTGGCACCATTCCGGCCATTGCCGAAGCCGGAACCTATTATGTCACCGTTACAGTCACGGGTACACAAATTGTAGGCACCTCGACAGATTTCACCATTACCTAAATACAGTACTCTATATTACCCAAGTATATTTACAAACAAAACTTTGTGTTCAATGAATACTAAAGATTTTAAAAGTATATACTGTATATGAAAGTAAATATTTTATATATACTGTAAATAAATATGTTGTATACATAAAGGTCCTAATAATTTGATTTACTGTTAGACAAATTATAATTATTCAATTGATAAAATTAAATTTTGCCATACTATAATTAATAAGGTGAATAGAAAATAAATATTAAAAAAATGGAATTAATAAATATATTTTAAATTTTATTTATATTTCATTTAATTCATATTTAAACTATTTATGATTTTTAAGTTATATTTTTTTAAAAAATTATTTATAAAATAATAATATTGTATTTTTTTTAATATAAAATCTATAGTCAAAGTTTATTATTCAATAGCATATAGTATACAGTAAATATAAATTCATTTGAGCAACATAATATATATTATAGTTAAACTAAAAAACTAATTTATTAATCCATCTTTTTCTTAATAAAATTTTTTTAAATAATTTTCTAAAAAAAGTAAAACTAACTATTAGACAAAAACAATATTTTGCTTCATCAAGATTTAACAAACCACAACACATAAACAAAATAATTACTATTTTAATAATATTGCTAAAAAAGGTAAATGAATCTATTTTATTAATTTGATTCATTTTTTTTTTAAAAAAATTTTAAATAAAAAAAAAAAAATATTCAAACTAATTTATAATCAGAAATAAGAAATCAATATTATTTTCACAAATTTATAATCAGGCCAAACAAATTAAATCTTTCTTGACATTTAAAAAAATCTCAAATCAAATAAATTCTTTTGATAAATTAGATAAACTTTAATCTTACCAAAATCCAAAAAAAAATATTAACGTTTTTTAAAAACTAAACAATCTAATGTATATATAACCAACCAAATAATTTATTGAAATTAATAAAAATATAAATATTTAATTTAAAAATATATTAAAACAAAATTAAAAATAAAAAAGATTGAGTGATTATCTATATAAATAATAAAACAACTTTAAAATCAAATATAATTATTAAATATATAAATAATAAATAAATAATCAATTAATTAATTTTTATAAATCTAAATATAATAATAAATAAATAATAATATTTAATAAAATTTATCTAAATACTGTCATAAGCTAAACTGATAAATCTATTACTAATTTGTAGCATCTTGTATAACTTAACCAATTAATAATACTTACAACTAATACTAAAAAAAAATATCCCTTGTAAAAAACACTTAGGAAAGATAAAGATGTAATAATTAACTTAACCAAGAGTAAGTAACTTTTTATTTGCATATTTCTTTTATATAATACCAACTATTATCTTTATTCTTAACAAGGACTGTCTTAATATATTCAGTATTGCATTTTTTGACTTACACTAATAGGCTATTTATGCTTTTCTAGCTAAAAATAGATTATCTATTTTACAATAAGCTATATTAACTCTAAACTTTGCTAAACTTTTCATACTCTATTATATATATACAGTTTCCTTATTAATATTCAAACCTCAATCCATAGTTTTTTACTTCACGATATTGAATCTTTTATATAAGATCTTCTGATTTTTAAATTCTAGACCATTACGTATAAATCACATCATCCATATAATCTCTAATAATATTAAAAATATTAAATAAAATATAACCAATTTATTAAAATTAAAAAAATAAAAAATATATATTAATTTTTTTTAAACTCATGATCAGGTCAACACTATATGTTTATTAATTATTATGAAAATTAATAAAGATATATAGAGCAATTATATTATGACTAAACTAAAACTCATGATGACTTACTTGTTAATAGCTTTCAATTCTCAAAAGAACTTTAGCCTCTAAATGCAACCTTGAAAACAATATTTTACTCCATAGTAGATTTTAAGTAAATACTCTTCTAATTTACACATCATTGCTAGCAAGTTATTACTACTTATTATTCTCTAAGAAACTAATTTTGAGAAACTACAAAAAGGAAAGTAGAAAATAAAAAAAAAGTATATTTCTAAAAATGCACAATAGTACTACATGAAAATGAAAACTGAAAAAGAAAAAATAAAAGTGTCTCTATTCTTCAAAAGATTTTTACTAAAAATCTCTTTTTTTATTAGAAATCAATCCTTCTAAAATATCCTTTTTTTTCCTGACTATCTGAAGAACTTATTTATCAGTGATCTTGATCATTTTCTTGTGACTATTTGAGATACTTATCACTTATTCAAATCCAGTGTCTTGCTTAATACTTTCTTTAGATCTTGATTTTGTATACATCTATGCAAAAGAAAATGACTAATAGTGAACCTTGAGTTCTTATGTGACTTTATAATTTTGTTAAGTAATTTCTGATATCTTCCAGTAGCCATGTCTAGTTAATGAAATTTTACTAATATTTATCTTGATTGTAATATCATTACACAATGTCTGAAAAAATGCATTTTCAATCCTAGAAAAGAGCAGTATTTTATATTTCTCTACTTTTCAGTCTTACAGTCTGATTGGAATAAGAAAATAATCTCTTTCATATACTTTCTATGTCTTTTATTAACTTTTTATTATTAATATGTCTTTGTATACATTTGATTTACAAAATAATGTAAACTATATACTATTTATTATGATAAGTAATTAGACTATTTTACATATAGTATACTAGATCAATTTATTCTATCACTTGGTTTTCCTTCTAAGAAGAACATATAATATTTTCTTAATTTTTTTCAGAACAATTTTATAGAGTAATCTAATTATCAAACCATTGCATGTACTCTAACTTGTCTTCAGTTTTGAAATTTCAGTGAGGTCTACAGATTTCTTCTCCCACCAAGGTCTCCCAATGATACACTATAGGCAAGTTTGATCATACTTTTATACATCTTACTGATACAATTTTTACTCTCTTCAGGACTTCAATCTTCATGACTTGACACTTTTTTATTAACCAGTAAGATCATCAGAGTGCCTTTGTCAATTCAGTTTCTGTCCTGGTGAATCACGAGATTAACTCCATTCTTCTTCACCTTATCATGATAATAATAAGATAATGATCATCCACAATACTTATAGACTAGCCTGATTTGATAAATATTAGCTATAGCTAATACCATATTATAGCAAATTCTTTTATTTCAAATAAAAAATATATATTAAATATAATGACTATAAATTAATTAATATTATAATAAAAAAAATAAACTTAAATTATACCTTTCCACTGATTACCTGATCATACTCAAAAAAAATGCTCATAAGAAGTTTTTATATTTTTTGATTATCAAATTCTTATCACTTTCCTTAAACCAACTTGAAATAACACTTTAAAAGTTATACTTACTTCTTCTTTCCTGTTATAAACAATCTTCTTCAAATAAAAACATAACTTTTAGCAACTAAAATTATGAACCGTTTTTCTTATCAATGGTAAGAAAGTTCTAAAAGGAAGAAGAACTATAGTACTACTATTTACTTACCTATTAGATAGACAATACGGATCTTTTCTAGTAATGAGAGACTTATCTTGAAAGCAACTACTTACTCTCCTGTTATGCTTGGGCTCTAAAAGTGCTCATTCTTGATTTTTTTTATGAGAAATTTTGCTTATTTTAGTCTTATCCTGAATTTAAGTAACATAAAATTTCTCATGCAGTGATTGGTCAGCATAAAGCATATTAGTAAAAGAATGTAAACAAGCTTCTATTGATTACCTCATATATCTAAATGCATTTTCTCAGTACTTATAAAAACTTAGGATCCATCATAAACTACATGCCAGTTACACAAATAAATATAAGACATGAAAATCATGATATTACTAGCTATATAGAAAGAACAAAACTGGATTGGGCTATCTTATATAGATAATACTCTGAATCTCTTACTTCTTCTCCAGTGAACATAACCATTATATTTGAACCAGTATCTTTTTAAAAAATTTTGATACTCCTATCCACTCATTGGAATCACTTCTAATAATCAGCTAAATAATATTATATTTTTTTGAACAAGACTTAACTTGAACACAACTCTTTTTTCTTTTTTTAAAAAATTTTTGATTAAGCACTAATGGAGTTAAGGCTCCAAATGAATAGTCCTCAACATTAGTAGTACTAGATATTTCAAGTGAATCCTTAATATATTGGTCCCCTCTTTTTGAAATAACAATAAGCTATTCAGTAGGCCAGCCAATAGTCATGTTATAGGGAGTATCAAGATGTAGAATAGAAAATTAATATAGTGTGACTTTATATTTTCTGTTGTTTCATGGTTGGTTTTTATAAGTAGATACTTATACTAGATAGTCATGTAACTATTTTATCCTAGTTGGATAAGATATAAATAGATGACTCTTTGTACTATTCATTAATTTGTAAATCCTTAAATAGTATAGGTAGTTATTCATCCCAGTTGTCTCTAGGCCTCTTGCTTATTTAAATAAATTTCATTCATCTCAATGCAAGAATAAGCTAGCATTTAAAAAAAAATTATTATTATAATAATATTGTTATAATAGAAAACAGGAAACTCTTTCTGCTAATCCTTTGATCACATATAAAAAAGATGTTCGGAAGAAGTTTTTACACTACATTGATAATAAAGTCTTAATACTTTCCTTAAAACAACTTGAAGTATAACTTGAAGAGTCACTTCTACTCTTCCTCTATTGTCTACAAATCTCTTCACTCAAAAACTTGACTTCTAGTGATCAAGAAAAGTCAAGTAATACCTTTGATATCAATAGCAAGAAAGTTTCGAAAAAAAGAAAAATTAATTGTAAAGTACTTGAAGGTCTTTTTAACCTTTGAAGTGAAAAGCTTATAAAGATTTTCTGCAATAAAAAGGCTTATTTCCTTTATTTTTAACTGTCTTGATCCTTTTATGCTTCTATTTTTATGATTTTTTGAGGAATTTTACTTATCTCAATTTGACCTTGAAGTTTAAGTAACACAAATTCTCACCAA